AGCATCAGTTTTTATTTCTGTTTCGATGGTCATCAGCTGTTGATCAAATCAAGAGCCAGTGTTCCTGGTCTTTTTGTGACTTGACGTATCCATCTTGTACCTCATGCCCATATTTTAGATATCCCATGTGCAAGTCTAATTCAGTTATTCATGAAATTCCAATAAATTGTTCAACCTTAAATTACCATGAGGTACTCTGTATTTATTAGAGGGGACACATGGAACAGGGAGAATGAACAGCTTCAAAAAGAAAAATCATTAAAGGCTAATCAGCAGCAATATCAGTGATAAAGTGACTGAATTAGTATTCAGTGGATCTTTTTTCCCACTAAACCTCACTTGTTTTGATAAAAATAAACATTATTACTCCTGCATCATTTCTTACAACTTGAGGCATCTGCTCAATACTTGGCTTCTGAACTGCTTGAGTTTGGGTATAATGCAATACTGAGTGCAATACTGAGATATCACATATATAGTCCTCAGCAGAGGAAAAACTCCACAGGATTCATAACTGCTGTTTTCAGATTAAGCAGTTATCGTGACATTACCACACACTTATGCCACTTACAGGTGCTTGCATTTTGATGTGGGACAACAACATGCACAGGAAAACTTAAAACAGTAAATAAGATAAACAAAACATAATACAGATTCCAAGGTGCCTTTGAATTAATAATCAGGATTCCTTCACACTCAAGAACTTATTCCCAAGTGTAAATCCATGTTTTAGCATACAGCAAAATATTTATACTTAAGGCCAGGCTGCTGGCTTCACAACAGACAGATTCATGAACAGGTTAATGAAGAACCTGTGCTTTGCTGTCAGTAATGTTAAAAGGTTCTCCTCTCGGGAATCCACTTTAAGGCAGTATGAATGCATACACGTGTGTGCCTATGGAGATGGAGATGAAAATACAAATGCATATACACACACAACTCTTGCACAGTCAGAATGTAACTGATACATTAAGAAAAGCTACTGAATAATGTATATTCATCATAGCACAATAAAAGTGATACTCTAAAATGATTAATTTTTAAAAATTGAATTTCTTGCATTACTCTTGACAATTCCTTGCAAGTGTCAATTTAATTAGATTGCAAAAACACACTGGAATGGTTTTTAAAGGATATTCTGCCTAGAGAATTAGATCAGTAAAGATTAGATCAGTAAGATCTGAACTTGTTAATTATATCTATCACCATATTTTAATCGATAGCCAGCTACCACATCACGGTAAACAACTTTGTCAAAAGAAAGTAATTTCAGAAGTAGCTTAAACGATTTTTAAAGGAAAAAAAAAAATTACTCCAGTAAATACTTCTCCAAGCAAAATAGTACTAAACCCTGAATTTGAAACTATTGCAATAGTCTTAACCAAAAGGCTTGGTTGACACTTGGTTCCTCTACCTCAGACTGCAGCTTTGTTGTCTTTTGGCCTGGCTGATCCTTATCCATTGCACAAATGCAAACACATTGCATGGGGAGGAGGGGAAACAAATCTCACTAGATTTCCAGAAAACCGTTACAAATGGCATATAGGACTGGCAGCACAAAATTTTAACCCACACTAAAAACTGTTATTACATGTCACTGTGTGACTGACTACAGGCTTCAAGTTCATCTAATTTGCATGGGAATAGAAAATATAAATTGACAGAAGGCAAGGAAATTCCAAAGTTATAGTGGTAATAACATCCGTTATGGAAACAAAGCACAGCAAACTGAAATAAAAATCTAAGCATCAACCTTATTTGCTACTCTCACAGGGTCACCTGTTTCATTAATGAAGAGTCACTTTTTGACCAAGAACATAAAGTACAGACTAAATCCTTCCTCTTCTCCTTCACTCTCCTACAAAAAAGCACCCCTGGGTTGAGGTAGGGGGAGAGGAAGGAAGTGCAATCTCTCTCCTTCTTCCATGTAGGAGGGTTTGTCCAGATCACTTGGGTCTTGTACAGAACAAAGACACAGGATGAGAAGATGCAACGTGCACTTTAACACGATAATACACCTGAATACTTATCAACCCCCTCCAGTAACCACCTCTGCAAATTTGCATGCTGGCAGATACAGGACATGAAAAAGTCTGTACAGGGGTTTCCACAGAAATGAACAAGGAGTGCAATAGCACACATCCTGGCAAGAGACATGACCTTGCCGCACATACACCCATCAGAGCTTTGCCCTAACAGAAAGCTCCATAATGTAACAAGTCCTAGTTTAAGGAATTTCTTATTTCTATTTTGTTTCAGCAGCATAGGAAGGATGCATATTTGAAACTTAACATAAATCCTTTAAAATATTTTTTAAAACCCTTTATTAATAAATTTAACATTTTTTCAATTTATTTAAACTTGTAGAAGACTACATGATACATTCCAAATGCGAAGCCAAGGAAAACACTGAAAAAGAAGATTAGAAATAAATAATGCAAGTCTGTGATAGTCAAATATTTTCTCAGAAATTCAGTAAACAGATTGTGATTGGGGCCTCTCAGGAAGTGCTGTGTCTTAAAATGTAAGATTTCAATAAATAAAATCCTAGAAAAATTGGAAGTATGATTTTCAGAAAACCACTTCTTTTAAGCATCCACATTCTATACTTTGTATAAGCCTACATTAATATGCTAAACAAATAAGTCTTAGAATTAAGTGAACACAGAAATGGAAATGCTGATAGGAAGTGCCTCCCTGTGGCTTGCAGCCATTTAATTACAGTAGCTTGCTGTGCAACAGCACTCAAGGTTCCTCAAGGCAACAAATCTTTTAAATAATACAATGTCCTTAATTCTCATAGAAAGCAAAATAAAAGAGAGACTATCTGACATATCCTTTATGAGAACACCATGCCTGCAAATAGATGAGTAACATGGGAAAAAGAATGAACCTCTTCCCCATGTTCAGTTGTTCCCAGGAGTGAACAGCAACTCCCTCGAAACAGACAGACATTTGGGCAGAATGTGAGTTTTAGTCACTGCATATTGTAACACAGCCTCTGAACAGGTAACCATTTCACTTGACTGTTTCCTATGTTGCAGGACACAGCAAAGTGTGTTTCCATATATTTAACCCACAGCAAAGAGAATATGACAAAGAACAGCTGAAATTCTCATCTATACTGAAGATTCCTGCAACAGACCTGAAATGACAAGAGCATGTTGCCCATGAATCCTTCACTCCTCCTTCATTCCCCCATTCCCCAAATATCACAACGTGTTCTTAATTCTGTGTTCCCAAGAATTAAATCTCAGGTTACTAAGTAATATTCATATAAATCTCAAAGCACTTGCTTTATGCTGCAAAGTAATCAACTACATAAAATCTTTTCTAAAGGACCTCTGCATGAATTCTACCACCTTGTTTTGACATTATTGTCCAACAATGAAAAATCAGATGGAAAACAACCATGAAACAGTAAACAGTAATACATTCATTGAGTCTTTTTAAAAAGCATTTTCAAGACAGTTTTAAAAAAACAGAATGAGAAGAGAAGGTTTACAAATCACATCTGTTTTAACTTATCCAGGTAAGAGTAAAGAAAAAAAATTCAGTATTGGATATACAATATAATACTGCTGTAAGGAGGAGGAAAATCGGGTTCCTTGAAAAGCTCCTGCATTTGGAGGGTATTTTGCAAGTCACAACTGCTTGCCTCCCTCTTTAACGCTCACTGTATTATTTAATCATTTCACTGATACATGTCTGCAGAATTTACAGGATTCACAACTAGGAAACTGCTAATCCATAAAAAAGGAACACTTCTTTTCCTCTCAATAGATTCTTACAGAGGTCTGAAATAATATTGGAAGAGAAGCAAGCTATTAGGCAACTTGGTGTGTGTCTGTCTCAGTAATTTGTGTCCACCCCAGTCCTTTGGTACCACAGATCATAGCAGCCAGTACACAATGTATTAGGCATTCTTTGCTATGGAGATGTAAGCAAAGTATGGAAAAAACCCCAACCAAACCTCCAAACAAACAACCCAGGATGGAGCTGTCACAATTGACACTTTTTTGGTTTAACTGTATTGACAATGTCAATTTAAAATAAGAAACAAAAATCTTCAAATACAACTATTCAATACAATTAACCCTGTAAGTTTGTTAAACTGAAGCATCCTCATGGCCTGTGTACTCTTGCAAATAAATACATTGCAAGTATGCCCCACTTGGACTTGTGCTTCACAGACTGAATGGTTAACTAATAACACAGTGGTACCTGAGGCAGAAGCAGCACTTCCCAGCTCAGGTTTCAATACAGGAACTTTTTCTGTTACCTATTTTCTAACTGTGAATTAGTCACTTGAGATGAAATACAATGTCAAATGAAAATAACACAACTGAGAGTATAACTAGACCTTGATTAATACCATTCAATATGTAATCACCAGCTATACATTGACCCTTACTTTGCTTCAGGAAAAAGCTACTAAAAACTATTATAGTGTCTCTTAAAATTTGTGATCAGATTTCACTGCAAGCATAAGTCCCAAATCAATAATCTAAAATCTGCATTCACAATTAAATTAGACCACTTGAATTAATTACCTGTATAAGAAACATAATACTCCATCCATTCCATTCAGATTTCACTCAATACTGCTGAATATTGAAATATTAAATCTTTTTTGGCCAATAGTATTTGAGAGTTTGGGATTTTTTTTTTCCTTTATGATACACACTTCTTTACTTTGCACATCATCCGCTTGCAACTCAAGGCTTTATTTTCTTTATTGGACTACTTCTTTCATAGGTAATCAGTGGCATTTAAAAGCAGAAGTGAATTCTCAAAACTCAGAAGCATGGCAAGCACAGTCATTTGGAAAACAATGCATAAATCTATTCACCTCTGCAGCAGCAGCCTCTGACAACTGCTTTGAGAAAGCTGTTAGCGCAGAAGACATTTTTCCATAGCTCTGGAAAAGCTTACTTCAGTGACAGCAAGTTGAAAAACTTTCTCACTATCTTACAGACAAATTCTAATGAAAAATTTTTATTCCCCTGTAAAATATCTCCTTTTTAAACTTCAGCAAATTGTACTGAATGTCCCAGATCATTTACCTAGCCAGTTCTTTAACAACTGTTAACATAAACTACAGCAGAATACACTGAATAATTAATTTCCAGAGTTCACCTTTATTAAAAACAAGGTTTTTGTTGTGAGAACAAATAATCTCTCACTTGTAGCCTGAAAACCTAAGATAGGATCATTCGCTTCCAGGGTTGCTACTAGCTGCTTAGCAACCTGTCCTACTTGTCTTCCTTCCTTCCTGTTGTAGAGAACTGTGGACAGAGGAGTTGGCTGACGATAGATGAAAACTCGTCGTAAGCACTCACAAAGAGCAGCGTAGGAGTAATCTGGAGCACAAGCCATGAACTTCTTGTCTTGCTTTGATGCTTGGACATAGCCTGCATAGCCCAAAAAGAAGTAATGTATTGGTGTCAACAGCACTTTACCTGGCTAAGACAAAATCAAGCTTAGTGTAAAAAACAATACTCAATTAGTAACAAAAAGAGAAAGAGATGTATGCTGTTATTAAATAAGCTGGAGGTATGCACTAGTCAATTTAATAGCAATATACAGTTCATACATAGTTCTTCCTAACTGGCATTTTTGATGCATATGTATGTATAGCTAGATACTGTTCCCACATCTAGCCCCTCTCCATCTCACAAGGTCTTTCATTTTCTCAGCAGGACCATAAGGCACAGATACACATATTGGCCCAACATTAGTAGTCTAAGCAGAATAACCCTTTTCTCTCTCCTCATCTCCCAGTTTGTAATTACATTTACAATTTAAGAATTCTGAGCCTACCTAATCTTGAACAGGTACTTAAATATTGTCTTCTATTTAGAACTGACTGAAAAAAAACACTAGTAATCTTTGTTAATATTCACTGAGAAGGAAAAATCTTCCTTTTCCTCTTCCATTACTGAGCTCAATTAGTAAACACACTTATTTCACAGTGATTTCCTTTCACCTTCTTGTAAAGAGACTTGAGTCACAATCTTTGCAAAGTGATCTACTATCTTTTTGGAAGGTTATTTGCTTCAATTCCATTGAACAGTGCATGGCAATGGTTATCACTGAAAGACAGCACCTCTGAGAACAGCAAGCCTGCTAGAGTTTACTTCTTTTTGGCTCTCCCTCTTTCCTTATTATAAATGGGTAGAGGTCAAGGTACTGTACTGGGGCTGGCTGGGATGGAGTTAATTTTCCTCACAGCAGACCATAAGGTGCTGTGTTTTGAATTTGTGACTAAAACAGTGTTGATACCACATGATTTTTTGGTTATTGCTGAGCAGGTCTTGCACATTGTCACAGCTTTCTGTTTTTCCAGTTCTGACTATGCTCCAGTTTGGGGATGCACAAGAAACTGTTTTGGTTTTTTTTGTTGTTTGTTCTTTTTTTTCCTGTTAACCCTAGACTTACAAATGCTTGCTACTGTCCTCAAAACATGATCTCTGTTCAAATCCTGCTTGATAGTTTTTACCACAAACCAAGACTATCAATTGACATCATTGCTGTACTGGGAAATATTAGGACAGCCAGAAAAACTTTCAAAGTTAATGAATTTAATACATGTATTTAAACGCTGGCATTAACAATTAAAGTAAGATTTAAGCATAGGCTTGCAGGTAGAAGAAGCTTTTGAGCCAGGGGACTTGTTTAAATTTAAATAGGATTTCCCAGAAAGAAAATGGTAGGCTTTTTTATTTATTTTTTTAAAAAGCAAATATAAAAGGCATCACTGTCCTCTACTTTTCTGGTTTATAGACACAATTCTGTTAGGAGCAGACGATTTATAGAGCAAGACTGAAGAGTAGTCAGTGAAAGTTACATGCTTCTTAAGTAAACTGTGGAAAGAATGGGCAAGATCACACAACTGCTCCTTCAACCAGCAGCGAATCATTAGACATTAGCAGCCAAAGGTCTGTCCAAGACCAACTGCTTTTTCTCAACAGAAAGTTAGGACAGGTATATGGAAAAAAAAACTTGGTCCCTGCAGTTTCCCTTTGGTTCCTTCCTTAGGTTTCAGTCCAAGACCTTTGTATAGCTTGTTAGAACCAATTCCAAAAATTCAAGCAGAGGAAGAAAGAAATAGGGCTACTACCATTGCTCTGTCAGTATAACAAATACTGTAGGTTTTGGAAAACCAGCCTTTTAATCTAGAAAATTCTAATTTTTACTACTCGCTCTTGCAAAGTATTTCTAAATTTGGTTGTAGACAAACAAGCTGATGACTAACATCACCTCTAGCACATAAAAAGTGAACCATATTAGTAAAGAAGTGTAAACTTCAATATAATACTGTAAAATTATAGTACAATAAGAAGACAGAAGTAGAGGAATAATACTGGTTTTTAGTACCTTAGGTACAAAAAGCTCAAAGATATAATAATTTCCTTCCTGTTTTTTTCAAAACAACAGAAACCCATTCTTAAAACAGTACCACAAAGTCACCATAGAAACCTGAAACTAACAGTTATTTGAAAAAACATCTTAATCCTTATCATCCACTTTTTTTTGCAAACAAATTTGAAATAACTAAACAAAGAACAAATTGTGAAATTAATCTCTTTTGTTAGAGGATTTGTTAAAATGCTTACAGTTTAATTTGATCTTAAATTAAAATAACAAGCTGTTTAAAAAAAATCATTCATATTACAAAACTAAATAAATTGCAGAAACTCTGAACAAAACCCATTATGTGTTATGGTAATTTATGCAAGCTCAATGAAACAGCTAGTATCTTCCCTTTCATTTTGGACCCAGACTGGCAGTGGTGTAGTCAAACAAATATATTTGAGGGAGGGAGGGAATCAGTTGTCACACTCCTGGCATTATTGAAGCAATGGGTCTAGAGAACACTTAAAGAACACAAAGACTATAGTTGTCACAGCAGAAGTAAATGCTGGACCAGATTAATTTTCATTAAAACTGATTTATCTGTTTATTACTTGATAGGTACAATACTGGGCCACGTGGACCATCCTATTTGATTTTATATGGAAATTCTTGCTCTTGCATCCATATTTTTCAAAGTACTTTCTGCTTCTGAGCTTTAGGAGTCTGCTTCCAACAGTGGGTAGAAACAAACTCTTAGTCCTGATTGTAAGAATACAGCAAAACCTAATGATTCTTTACAATTACATTTTCTATTTTTCTGGCAGTCTGTAATTTCAGAAGAGTTAGGGGCTTCCTGAGCCAGAGCTGGCAGTTACACTCTTGATTGATTTCTGCTGTTACAATGATTTATTTTTTTTTCCACAGTTTTTCCACAAAGTTTTATGGCAGAGGGTTCCATAACTCAAATTCACGTATGTGAAGTATTTCCTTTAGCTTCTTTTGAAACTGCTATGTACCAGCATCATTTGATGCTCCTAGCTCTTACAACAGAAGAAACAGTGAACAACCACGTCCAATTATTCGGACTTGTCAGCTGGGAAAAGTGAGATAGAAAAAATCTAAAGGTGACTTATTAAAACATCTTACCATAAGCACATATACACCTAGAGATGTCATCAGTGACCTGATTTCTGTGGGACTGTTAGGGTGGTGATTGTGCTTGTCCTTGAGTGAACTGAAGTTCACTTACCCAGGGAATGCTCTGTGCAGTACTGTGCTTGCATCCTACATATGGTCTGAAAAGGCTTACTTTCCTCCCAAGGCATAAACATTTTATTTCTTACATTCTAATATTTCTAAAATTAAGCTACCATGCTTCTATCAACAGAATTACAGTACCTTTCCATTCAAATTCAGTTAAGTGAAATATTAACAGATCCCATACTAAGAGTATTCAGGTAGAAAAGTGAGATAGAGGAGTGTGGCACAGAAGTTAATTTCCTACCTAAAGCATTAAAAGTTGCAATGTGTTCCCACATGTTTTCTGGTTGGTCAGAGTGGGGTTGCCAGAGAAGAGCATCAACATCATGCCTCAGGCAGAAGCATGGCATTTCTCTGGGATCCACAACAACTGAGAAAAGATACTGGTTGCTTCCAAGATTAATCTGAAAACAAAACAAAGAAATACGAAATATTGATTCAAAGCATACATAGCAGATTCTGTCACACATACTGCCAAAGTCAGATGATCAACAGCTTCATGTTTGTTAGTTGACAAAATGTTTGAATACATTATGCTGTATCCCACTGATCAACAGCTCAATACACTACAGGTAGCTAATACATTTCAAGCAGATGCAATTAAGTTTCTTGGGATAATATTTAGGGAAGCATTATATCCACTACACAAGCAAACAGGAATGTGTTTTGTATAAAAATTATTTTCTGGGATAGAGGAGCCTAACCTACAACTTCTGATGTTAGGAAAAGACTCTCTTTAAGTAATAACACCTGGTTTTCTGCAGTGCCAACAGGGAAGGAAATACTGTCCCTGTGCAGTAAAAGCTGGTAAGCACTGGAGCAAGGATTAGTTAGAATACTAAAATTATGAAATGTCAATATTTTTTTTATTTACTCACAGTCAAATAATTACTAAATTTCAGATTAGCACACTCTTCATCAAGCATGCCTAGATCATCAAACCCCTTCTATTCACCAGGAATGACCGATTACATAAGAAAGACAAGACAGGCATACCCTGCTACCTGTATAAACAATAGTAAGAATAAACAATAAAACAACACATATTTTGTGTTTTCTATGTAAAACCTTCTAAAAGAAATTAAAAGCAATACTTTTATGTAGCACTATGCCTAGCAAATGCTCAAAGAGGAAAAAGCAATCTGTTCCCTTAGGGCCTACCAAGAAAAACGCTGAGGAATTCCCGTTTGTACTCAGTGCTGATCTACATTGTTCATGTTACCATATGAACATATAACATTTGAACTATTTTTTATATCCAGAAGCTATGCCTGCAACAGTAACATGCAGGATTACACCCTAATACATGGTACGATATATTACTCCCCAGTGAGCATTTCAGATGCTGGCACTTGTTGACTAATTGTTCTCCAACAGTTGTCACAGCACTTTTTATTACAGGTATTGTGGCAATAGCTATGAACTGCAAGCCTTCTGTGCTATCACTGTACAAGTGTCATAGGATGGATGGAGTCTCTGTCTTGAAGACCATAATTTAATCTTAATTTAATATCCAGTGGGCAGAAACAACAGCTATTGAGATCTAGAAATTCTTTTACTCCAGGTTATACAGTCTATGGTAGAACTAATATAACTATTTCAGCTGATGAAGTTCAAGCCTAATAGCTCAACTTCAAAATAGCTTCTATTACTATGCCATTTAACAGGCATACAAATTCTTCAGTTGTATTAAAACTACAAAAGAGGTAAAATAATCCTCAGTCTCCACTGGGGCCAGATGCAATCATGAAATGAGGGTTACTGATTTTCTAAGCAACTAAGAGGCAAAGAAACATTAATAAAGATAACGTTGAGAGTTCCAGTAAGATGCCTTAAAAAGAACAAAGCAGAAAACAGAATGCAGGTCTAATATTGATGTAATGTGCTGAGTAAAAACAGAAAGTATGAAGTCTTAGTCCCTCGAACTTCTTAACATCTGAGAAACATAAGAAGTCAGCAGAGGTCAGGCAGACGACACTGACAGAGGTGAGTGTAACAGGCCTCTAAGGAACACAGGAAAAACAGACAGAATGAAGGAGAAACAACTTGGGAAAGGGAACAAGTTTAGACTTCTCATACATTCAGCTCAAGACTCATTCCATGGGTCCCTTCTGCACCTGCTTCTCACACCTGGGAAAATGTCAACCATGGGGATTGTGCATCAAGACACACTGGTGCAATGATAGTCCACAGGGTCATAGACAGTCAGTTACAGAATGATTTGACCAGAAGAATCTGCTAGAAGGTTCAGCCTGTTTTCATCAATGTGACCTCTGTTTTGCTGCTGCACAGCTAACTTCCCCTAAACTTACTACTTCTGCTTAATGAACTAATCTCCCAGGTAAGAAAAGCAAGTTGTTCCTGGAGCACCAGAAGGAAATGAGGCCTGGCTTCCTACAGACTGGAATTACATTTTCCAAAGCTTCTCTTCCCCAGAACTCCTTGTAGATGTCATCTCATTTTTAAGCTCTTTCCTTTCATAATTTCTACCTGTTTTCTTGAATATGAAATAAGGTCTTTTTCCAGGTTTCAGAAAGTTTGTGAAATATGTAGAGGAATATTTTAAATGTACAGCACCTCAATAAAGTAATTCTGAACTTTGATTACTTTTTTTTGCCTCCAGAAGAAATTTACAGTGTTTTGAAAAACCCAGTAAGTGGCACACTCCTGTAGCTCAGATGTAAGCACGATGTATTTCACAGAATGACATGCAGTTTTAGTTAACAGAGATCATTCTGGCACCTAATGAGAAGGCAGACTCA